AAAAAAGTTCCTAATTGTGAGAATTTTGAATACCGTGAAATGGCCGCTCATAAATCGTCATGTTTCTGTATTTAGCAGTGTGGCTTGCAAAGTTAACAATATGAATCAAATACACTGCTAAATTTTATGAACCCCATATGGACTCCTCTCAATATCGTAAAGAAATATGTGACTTTCCGTACGCGGAAAATATACAACTTGTAGTTTGGGAACCCTGAATCTAATTGTAGCGGTAGAGCTGATTCAAAATTCTTCGGGAATCGGAAAAGTTTGAAAACCGAATTACAACCCTCCTACGAGTAAAAGTCTAGAAGATGTAATTTTATGCCACATGAGCGAAATGATGAATAATTTTTGCATGTTTTCCAAGAAATATAATTGGACTTTTAGGGGCATGGACAATTAATGAGGAAAATTCATGCTACACAAGTAGTCATTTTTGCCGAGTATGATTTTTGTATGCAGCCGTAAAGAAGTTCATGCGAAAGCCGGCATCCTGAGGTGACTAAAAAATTATAGAATTGTGTTGCAGGCTGACTAGTTTTACAACTCTACTTAATTAATCTTTTCGAAACGAAAACGCCTTTCGAACTTTCGGTTGGCATTTCATGAGTTAGCCCACCTACTGTATATTGCATGGTTACAATGTCACAGCATACCTCTCATAATCATCATCTTTCGCATTCATCGACGATGGTCGAACTTGGTTCGGTACTTGTTTGACCACCCTCAGCCGAGTCATTATTACACCAATAACCAATGCTGGCGATTAAAGTCGGACAATCAACCTCTACGATGCAAGTGGGCAAGAAGTACTTCTAGCAAGTATATCCGTCTGTGAAAAATACGGAAGCCGCTACTTCTTACGCTACGCGGCAGCATTGCAGCTGTATCCTGTAAACACTGTAACCCTCTGGGCATCGATTATTCGTATGTGATTCTCTGCTTTGATGATAGGTTCGAGTGCGAATACGAAACGCCGGATGAATAAAATTTCCTTTCTGACAGTCAGGTTGCCATCTTCTCGGCATGGCAGTAATAGGTGGGTCTACCAACAGCAGATTATCACCGCGGGCATTGGGGAAGCAGGCGTGATTCCCAATGTGCCCTTATTTGCGCTTGTCGCGGTAATCAGATTCATATGCAGACCCCAGCCTACAACCTTCAAGCCCGATGCCGAATAAAAAGCGGGGAGATGTGACGCCAGTAAATAAAGCACTGAATTCTGTATAGGATGCCTGAAAAACAGGCTCGTACAAATGCAGCAATCGAGGACGTCAAGTGTATCACACACCAGAGTAATGAAACGCCGAGAAGAGATCCTGGCGGAAGTAGACCTGAACAGAGCTGTCAGCATCTCTGATTACTCATTCACACGCAGCGGAAGATGGTACGTCGGGAATGGGATGCAGTATAGTATAACAAGACAGTCATGGGAGATGCGTATAATAATAGTTACTCGTACAGGTGGAATGAGTTACAGCCATAAAATGGCCTGTCTGGGTGGAGAGGCGATACCGACATGCCAGCTCATTAACCGGTGGGGAATGCAGCGCTGTGGGCAACTGCAGGGAAGGGCCGAGGGAGGTGCCGATGTAGCGAGACGGAGAGCGATGCGAGCTTTACGGTACGGTAAGGGGGAAGGGATCGGCGGAAGAGAGAGGAAGGGACACCGGCCATCTTCACCGACACGCGGTTACGCCATCTCCACCCTAGGTCCTCGAGCGGAAAAGTGTCACAGCATTCAAACAACCCTGCTCAGATCAGGGGGCGTTACACAAAGGCGCAGGACCGGTGCCGCGGAAGCAGACGCCACGAGCACCAATCGGACCTGCGTCTGAGTTAACCTTGAAGTCAATTGCCGGTCTTGATAGTCGTGATTGGCCATGAACCAGACTGCCATTGGCACGCGCGGGGAGGGCGCAGTGCTTCAGCAGGCGCCTAGACCAGGGCTTTCAGACGTTTATCCGGTGTGTATTCGTTATCACACATGTTTAACTGGACCAAGGTTTAAGGATCAACAGATGAACTTTGACTTACCTTCATCTGTATCGTCGTTTAAACACTCGCGTTGGTTACAGTGGGTTTGAATTCTCTCGTGGGCTTTGCCGTGATCGACCATCATCAAAGATAGACTGACTGGGTTTGGGGACATAAACTTCCACAGAAGATAATGTTAGCGCACATAAGATACAAATGATGGGACACCTCTGGAAGTAAATGCTAATATTATTGACAAGTTACAGTACAATGGGTGACCGATCACATGAAATGTTGGCCGAAATTCTGAAGTATGTTTTCGATTTGGATGGATAGCTTAAGTAAGGTCGTAATACTGATTAGCCTGCGGAATAATCCAGTAATATTTCGAACTCGCCAGGATGTCGACTTTTGAAGGCAATTCTTTTCGATCTCCTACAAAATCCACACTCGGTAAAAAATGACTACTTAAATAGCATGAATTGTTTGCATTAATTTTCATTGGTCTTTTAAATTCTAATATATTTTAGAGAAAACATTCACAAAATATGCTTTCTTCCGTTCATTCGGTGGCAAATCGCGTCGAGTGTACATATTATGCTTGAAGATGGGGCATATTGAGGTGATGAAAAAGTTTTTAATTATACGACTTTTTAGACCGTGCGATGTACATTCATAGAACGGCGTACCTTTCTGTTTACCATTGCTCCTCATGAAATGTGCGACATAGTCTGCACTTATTGTAAACTTTCATGAAGTCTTAATGGTATCTTCTTAAAGGCATAGATGAATAAATTATTTTACTTACACAGAAAGCATGGGTCTTGTAAACTGAGGTCGTCAAAAGCTAATGCAACGGCTGAGTTGGCTTAAAATTATTCGGGAAATGGGAAACTTTTTGAAGCCTAATAATACCTCTTCTTCAAGCATAATATGTAGACTCGACGTGATTTGCCACCGAATATGTGGAACAAAGCATATTTTGTGCATGCTTTGTATAAAATGTATTTGAATTTATAAGACCATAGAAAATTAATGCGAAAAATGCATGCTACTTAGGTAGTCATTTTTACCGAATGTGGGTTTTGCGTAAGATCGAAACGATATGCATTCAAGAGCCGACATCCTGGCGAGTTCGAAATATTACTGGATTATTCCGCATGCTAATCATTATTACAACCCCATTCAGGTAATCTTTCCAATTCGAAAACGTATTTTCGGCCAACATTTCATGAAATCGGTCACTCACCGTATATTTTCCCTCGGTCATTTAGTGAATTTTGGCGTTGACCAGACGAGAGTAGTTCGCTCATTCGGCAAATGCCTCTGCAACTGCCTTTCTTGCTATTCAAAAGGCGCTTTTACCATAAAATAATTGATTTTATGTTGGAGAGGCGTTCACCGATCTGGTTACGGAGCCTGCATGTCCGGCCTCCTTGGGCTTTGTGACTCGATCTAGAGACTCATAAGCAGTCCCTCAACTAGATGACCATTTCTGGCTTTTTGGCCGTCGCCAGTCAAACTTAACTGACTCGAGGTATAGGAACACCTGAGGCTCGAGCCTGCCTTTTTGGTCCAAACATTCAGACACGGACTCCTCATCCTGATTGGGAGAAGTTTAAAAATGTTTACCGACCACTCACTGCCCAGCAATGGGATGCGTTTTTGCACTCCATACAATGTTCCTAATCGGTCCGAGTCAGTAGCCGCCGACTATATTTTTTCCGGCCATCGATCTTCTGAAAATTCCAAAAGTATGAGTGGTTAGTCAAAAATATGGGAAAGATGGATAAGACGTCACTGTCTTCAGCGTAAGAGCCCGAAAAATGTTACTTGAGAGACCGGACTATGAGCGAAAGAGATGTATATTTTATTTACTCTCTCAGATGAAGGCTTTTTTGCGTAAATAATAGCTGTTTGCGATGTTTTTGTCTGATAAGTCTTTTTTGCAACTTAATGAATTCCACCTGTGCCTTCCCATGTCTGAAGAACAGTCACTCGTCCGAATTTAGCAATCTAGAAGTGATTTTATGCAGGTGATGGTAAATGACTGCTTTACTCCCCCAGATGTGTGAGGACCCATACTGTTGGGTTTCGCTTTTTTATCGACCTCTGATGAAATCAGTCGACAAACTCTATTCATTTATATCCTTTTGCCATTCGATGATTTTAATGACTAATTTCTAAATGACCTTTTATCGAAGAGCTAAAAACATGGAGAAAATAGCTCATTCCCTAAAATATTAGGGCATGAGCGGCAATTTACTTGAAGGTTAATCTGAATACAAACTACTCTTATGGAATAACCGCATAATGTCTACATGTGTGGTTCTCGAGTGCATAGGTGGCTTGTCTAGTGCTATGGTAACTGAGATTGTAAGCTGGGTTTTCGACTGGAAAGGATTATTCTTGTGGACTGTAATGCTGATTTTCGTAAAGTATAATCCTTGGGTGCTTCATTCTCGCCAGGACTTCAGCTTTAGAATGCTTATTTATTCATCGGTGGGCTGAAAAAAACACATTCGGCAGAAATAATTGCTTGAGCGGAGTGAACATCTATAGTTTTTGATACGCTAGTCAATTCCTACTCCTCCGAGAGGATCATCAACCATAATCCCCGGAAAGTGTTTCGTCCCACCTCCTTCAGCCCCACCTTGGCACCATCGCGGCCTCCTGCTTTCATCCCCTGATCCACCTCCTTCTGATATCCCTCCTCCTCCTCTTCATCCTTGACCTCTCGTTAGGTTTCTCTACCAATGTCAAAATCGCCTATGATGCTTGTCGCTCTTTAGCCAGTCTCCCAGGCTCCGAATAGAAAGTAAAAACTTTTTAATCTCGTCGGAAATCAGCAAGCCTATTTGGATTTTAGATACAGTATGCAAATTGTTAGGTAGTGGACAAAGTGTTAAACTCGTGCGTTGGCACACACCCAAATGCATCCGTTGACTTTTAATGCTCTAGTCAATTCAGTTAACATTCATGATCAACGCATCGTGCTGTTAACTGTCCGACAAAACTTCCTACTTCTCCGGGAGGATCAGCAACCATAATCTCCGGAAAGTGTTCCGCCCCACCTCCTTCAGTCCCGCCTCGTCACCGTCGCGGCATTCTGCTCTCATCCACTCGTCCGCCTCCTTCTCCTTTTCCTCCTCCTTCTTCTTCTTCTTCTCCTCCTCCCCCTTCTTCTTCTTCTCCCCCTCCTCCTCCTCATCCTGCTCCTCCTCCTCCTCCTCCTCCTCCTCCTCCTCCTCCTCCTGCTCCTCCTTTTCCTCCGTTTGGCAAGACATAAATGGCCGTCCTAGTCTCCCCTGCCTTTGTCGGTAATGCTTATCTATACACATTACACGCCACTGTGCGGCTGATGGTGGAGCCAGAGAGAAAGCCCCAAGACACAATGGACGTATGAGCTCCGCAACGCGATCCGTGAGCACTCCTCCACCACGTCTTGTAATGAATTATTAAGAGTCTTCTTCTCCAAATGCTATACTTAAACAAAGAATATCTTTGGGTTGGCTAGACCTTTTTCAATTTTCGAACAGTTTCGTGTTTGACCTGCCGCTTACGACTTTCAGTCTGCGAGACTTAAAACTTTCTTCTAAGGGATAGCATGCATTCCTTTATGCCGTAGAGGTCTTAAACTCTACAACTTGTAGAGCATGACATATACGTCGCGAGTAGTATTATTGCTCAGACAGATACGACGCTATTTAAAACCACAATGAACAATCTTAGGAAAATAATAATACAGAACGTTTTCAAAACTTTATCTAATCCTTTTCATGAACATAAAATTTGAAGAGGAGGCGATCCCATACCAAATAAACAACAAAATGAATTCTTTTGCGTCATTTTCCTGAAAAGTGCATAAAATCAATGGGAGCAGCGAAAATTAATTGATCAGGACCATACTACCTAAAAATCATCTTTTCCAGATGTAGTTTTAGCAGGAGTCCGAAAACACGTACATTCAAAACCCAACATTCCACGGTGCGTGAAATATCATGAGATTGTGGCGCACGGTAATCAGTACTAAAACCTTAGTAAATATTATTTCCTAATCGAAAATTCAGTTCGGAATTTCGGTTAATACCTCATGGGATCGGTCATTATCCATATAAACAAAACACAGTCTGCCTAGTTGTGTGTGTTATGTGGAGTGGCGCACTGCTGGACTGAGAGCCAGGCTGTCACGACCCCTTCTCATGCGATCTGTGACACTCTCATTCATGTGAGGAGAGTGTGTGCACTTTATGGATAGTGTCTCTCAGTCGACCACTGTTTGGTTAACTAACCTTGTAGGGTGACGACCCAGGCTGGGTGCAGGGCCACGTGTCACCCTTCTAGGTCAGAAAGTCCGACAGCGTGTGCTATGCCAGTATCTGCAAACCATGGGCCTCGTACCCTGGTATGCGTTGACGGTTCCCTGCCGGTAGATGTGCTTGCGCTCCCGCTGGGCATACAGGTGGTGGGCATGGCTGCCCAGTCATCATGCTCGTCCTTCTGACCCCCGCGCTGGGGTGTTGTTGTCGGTCAAGTGTACGTTGTAGGCCAGGAGGTGTGCTGGCACGCCTAGGTGCGGGTCCGGCTGGGCCAGCCACCTGCGTTCCTCCCTCATCTCCGGTCTTCTTGACTCTGTCTTGACACGGGATCCAGGCAGGAGTGGGGAAATGAGAGTGCGCCAGATGCTGTGCAAATCTAATATCATCATAAACTAACTCGCGAGCAAGTCGCCATATCTGTTGTATCTTGCTGTGTAGTACGTGGTGGACATCGTCGTACTCGACGATCGAACTGTCACATAAACAGTGGACAGATTATCTGTTTAAATGTTAGCCAAAACCGGGAAATATGTCTTTGTTATGAAACGTTGACTTGGGTCTGTTTGAAATAGTAATTATAGTTTGCTTATTAATGTTCTTTATGAAGTACACGACACTGACTATAGCCATTGCAAGACGTTTGAGTTCTACATATATCTTCGCAGTGGTATAGTCTGAAGTTTGAAAACCCCTAATGTCAATGAAACGACTGTTCCGGTTCAACAGCATTCGGGAAGGAAAGAGCTTTTGCAAATGGTAAGCCGCCCTTTCTGCTTATAAACATTTGGTAAGACGTAATTTAGTACTTAATGTGGTACCGGAAATGCTGTTGCTGTGTATGCATTCCGGAACACACGTTTGGATTTATGAAAAAAATTGGGACCCGATGAAAACATTCGTACTATTTAGGTAGTTATTTTTATTAAACATGTTTTTCGCAGGACGTAAGAAAGAAACGGTCTTGAAGGCCGGCATCCGGTCTTGACTGAAATATCCTAGTATTATGTTGTACATTAGTCGACCTCACAACTATAAGTAAGTTATCATTTTTGATCAAAAACACATTTCCAAATTTCAGGTAGGATTTCGTATCTCTTAGGCCTCATACCTCGTACACATTATACCTGTTCTGATGCACAGCGATGCATGTAACAGCGGAATCCTCTCATCTTTATCATTAAAAGGCAAGTATCATGAAACTCACAAATTAAGTTGTCTGATTTCAAACGGTCTTTTGGTTGCAACTAGATTTTTCTTAAAAATGTTAAACAGCAAACACATTTTTACTCATGAAACAAAAATTTGCATATAACCTCTTGGGAGCCGTCTATGCTTCAGAGGATTCTAAAGTGTATCGATTTTGTGGGAGCCTCAAGGTGCAGTGAGCTGTGCAATCCCTTTAATTTACAGTGGCTTGGGTGGAAACCTGCCACGTCTTCCTAAGTATCTGGACTTTTTTATATGATTTAACAACATGCCACTGTTAGCGTTAGGTAGTACAAACTACAGGCACTAGCCAATCTCCTGAAATGCTGACTGACAGCATGAAATGGGTTTTGGATTAGAAAGAAATTCGAAGGCAGGTATGTAAAATTTGTCATCGATTATTATTTATTATTATTCATTTTAGACCCGCTAGGCTGCCGGCCTTTAAAAACGCTTCTTTTGCGTTTACAAAAACCGCACATGATGCAAATTGACTACTTGGGTGGTGTGCTTTTTGTTAATTGTCGTTATCCTTATATTTGTCGATAAATACTACGGAAAATCAATCAATCGAAAACCAGGTCTTCTCATAAATTCGAATTTAAAAAGATGCCTTTGGATTTTAAAATATTTCTAGTTACGAGCCTTTTCAGACATTTTATGTTCTTTCAATCTGCATCGTATCTGTCTATTTATTAGTTTTCCTCATGAAAAAAGCTTGTTATACAGCAAACGGGGTTTCGGCCCATTGCGATTAAATACGTTCTGTCGAAGACGCGTTTCGGTTTGTCTCTCAAAGCTCTTTTGTTTCGTATGAAGCCCCCATTCTTTTTGAATACGTGGTCGGCGGCGGGAATAATATAAAAACGCTTTGACTCCCTTATTGAATGAGATACAGAAGGACGCGCGTTTTGGCATTGTGCCAATGAGTTGGTTATTACTATTTTACAATCTTAAGGGCTTGCAAACAACAATTTTACCATTCGGACAAATGCGAGCACAAGGAAAGTATGTGTGAGAAAAGCAAAGTCTAAAATTTCGAATTTCGATATGCTGCATTTTGCGTCATCACGGTTGATGCTGTAACTTTTATGGGGCTTTGTCCTAATAAAAATCGAGGAATCTTTTAACAGTACTTGCAATTACAGCAAAGCGTTTATTGGCGAGTGCATTCCCTTGTTCACTGACGTTTTGTTATTATTTTCTACGTTATGTACATGGAGCCATTTGTTTTGAAAACAAGGTAAGCCCGCCGGAAGAGTTTTATTGGAGTGCTGTGACGTTTCGTAGAGCTTGGTCGGCTCACCATCGTCAAGGCGTAAAATGCACTTAATCGGGCAGAAATGGAAGTGTCATACTGCGCTGCTCGGGTTCACACCGTCCGATTTTCCTCTCCTCTTGCTGCCTCGGCATTTCTGCTATGTTAGCCGAGCTTTTTAGCTCCGTGCGTTGTAAATCACCACCTCGTCGGGGGGGGAGAGGTGATTGAGCCTCTGTCGGGGTTTGCCGATCTGGCGGCTCTTTTCCTTCTTTGTCGAGTGAACTTGTCGTCGGACGATCTGCGCGGCCTTTTTAAGTTCTGTGTAGTCGTCTGGTCCTGAACTCTACGAAAGTAAGTGTGAAGGCCTTTTTAACCTGCAGGAAAGCCCAGATGCCTATTGATGGCATCTGAGTAACCCGCCTGAAGTGTTACTCGTTCTGCCTTTGATTGACCCAGGTCTAAGATAGCAGCTCCATGAAGTTCAAGCGTATGACCACTTTCCCCAACCGCCGTAGCAGGTTGAAAGTTTGGGTCTAGCCTACGCTTCTAGGCTACCAAAAATGGACCTCTTCAGTGTTCAGTAAGGTATGAGGTACCTAGGTACATTAGCTCTTTGGAGAATCCTGAATTTCGGTATTTTGAAGGGTTAAACCCAGGAAGGCATGTTCTTTTCAGTGTTTGACTAAGTTCCCTCTTTGAGAATTCTTGTTACTGTTGTCATGCATTATAAACACAATTATAGATGGTGGATTTTCAGATCAAATTATATGACGCGAATTCTTTGAACTCATGCTGGAATTGCGAACCCATTTGCTACGTTTCGGGGCCATATTTACATCATCATGTTCGAACTATCGGATAATGATAGTTGTCTGTAACTGCGTTCTAGTTTGCCTGAAGATCTCACGATAAGTCGCATAATTTGACAGAAAAAACCTGCTCAAAAACGCCCTGAGGGGAATACTTTATCACAGAACGTCATTTTGTATTGCCTCGCAGGAATGGGCCGGAAAAGTGGCAAGTTGCGTCCGCAATGTACGAATGTTCTCGTAATTCATTCCACTCCTGCCTAGTATGGACTATTATGTTTGGCAAAACATCCAAAGGAGAGGAAGGCTCCTTAAACAGATTGTGGTAAAACAGTGTTAGTTTATAATTTAGACTCGAGGAGAATTTCGTGCACCTTATATCGAAAACTATGGTTCTAACTGAGGAGCGGGTGACTTTGACTAGTTTAACAAAATTAGGACAGTCAAACTGAAGAGTTCCAGAATATCAAAAGATAATTGTCAGCACCTATTCAATTTTAATAACTCTAAATTGGCTTTTAAATAGTCTCCCTTGTGTTTCTTAGAAAAGAGTCTCGGGCGAAGATTCCTATTTTAGCACACGGCGTATGCTGTAAATTCGCTTTGGTCGAAAAAAGACGTGTCAATGATTATGTGTTCAGCTTATTCCGTTTAATGCCGGATTAAGTTTCGGAGAGCTTGCTCCCGAGAAT